TTCTACTTATTGATTTAAAATCTCCCTCTTGACTGGGTGCAGTGGCTCAGGAGTTCCAGACCAGCCTGGCCAACATGGTGAAACCCCATCTCTACTAAAAATACAAAAATTAGCTAGATGTGGTGGTGCAATCCTGTAATCCCAGCTACTCCGAAGGCTGAGGCAGGAGAATTGCTTGAATCCAGGAGGCAGAGGTTTCAGTGAGCCATGATGACACCATTGCACTCCAGCCTGAGTGACAAGAACAAAACTCTGTCTCAAAAAAAAAAAAAAAAAAAAAAGTCTCTTGCCACTAGCATGAAGGTCCCATGAGAAGAAAAATGGAAACTCTTGCTCATAACAGTGTCCCAAATGCCCAGCACGGTGTAGTTCTAGGGCAGTTGGTCGATGGTGGACGCTGCTGGTTGGAGGGCCCAGCTGGCCCTCCCAGCTGCCTTCTCCCTGGTCAGGTTCCATTATAGAAAACAGAATAGTTTCATGCCTTTCCGGAGTCCCTCTTAGTGGGGATTGGCCAAGTGACATTGTCCTGCCCCGGGAGACATAAGTGGAAGTTGGCTGAAAGGTTTGTAGCCGTGGTGTGCTGGGGCGATTTGAACCAGGACATGAGAGCTGACCGTCCATTGTTCAGGAATTCTGCAAGTTGATTGTTCAACACATTCAGTACTTAAAAATATCAAATAATATAAACTCGCAAATTAAAAAATGCATTAAACCAGATGCAGTGGCCCACGTCTAACACATTGGAAGCCTGAGGCAGGAAGATCACTTGAGCCCAGGAGTTCAAGACCAGCTTAGGCAAAAAAGGAAGAGCCTGTCTCCACAAAAAATTTAAAATTAGCTAGGCATGGTGGTGTGTGCATGCAATCCTAGCCACTCAGGAGGCTGAGGTGGGAGGATCGCTTGAGCCACCTGTTCAAGGCTCCAATGAGCTATGATAGTGCCACTGCACTCCAGTCTGGGTGACAGAACCAGACCCTGTCTCAGAAATAAACATATTTCATATATTAACAAATTTATAATAAATGTATATTTACATATACATGTATGTATTATAATTATATATTTAGACATAAATATATATTTCTTGTTTTATTTATTTATTTATTTATTTATTTTGAGTTGGAGTTTAACCCTTGTCACCCAGGCTGGAGTGCAATGACACAATCTGGGCTCACCGCAACCTCCACCTCCTGGGTTCAAGGGATTTTCCTGCTTCAGTCTCCTGAGTAGCTGGGATTACAGACACACACCACCATGCCTGGCTAATTTTTGTATCTTTAGTAGAGATGGGATTTCTCCATGTTGGTCAGGTTAGTCTCGAACTCCTGACCTCAGGTGATCTGCCCACCTCGGCCTCCCAAATTGCTGGGATTACAGGTGTAAGCCACTGTGCCCAGCCTATATGATATATTTATATATTATAATTATGTTTATTAATTTTATATAATTATATATAAATATCAATATAAAAACTTTCCTTGCCTTCTCTTGTTTCTACCTTCAGTCAGTCCCATGACTTCAAATACTATCTACATGTAGTAATTTTAAATGTATGTTTATATATATATATATATATTTTGTTGTTGTTGAGACGGAGTCTTGCCCTGTCGTCAGGCTGGAGTGCAATGGCGCAGTCTCAGCTCACTGCAACCTCTGACTCCCGGGTTCAAGCGATTCTCCTGCCTTAGCCTGCCAAGTAGCTGGGCTTATAAGCGCCCACCACCACGTTCAGCTAATTTTTGTATTTTTAGTAGAGACAGGGTTTTGCCATGTTGGTTAGGTTGGTTTTGAACTCCTGACCTTAACTGATCGCCCACCTCGGCCTCTTAAAGCGCTGGGAATGCATGCGTGAGCCACCTTGTCCAAAATATTTTTCTGTTTCCAAACATTTTACAAGAGAGGAAAGCGGAGAATAAATCATCTGACATACTACTATAAAAAGAAAATCTTTGTGCCTCTCTTCTTTTCATCTTTCCTAAGTGTACATATTACCAAAATGTCTTTAGGTTGAAGTCCCCCCGTGAAAACTTTACAGGGTGTTGTGTCCTCAGACACCCTCCTGTCTTTTCCTAGTCCTGGCATTTTAGAACTGTCTGGGGATGATCCAGGATACCCGCTGTGGCCATGTCTATCGGAGGGTCTAGTGAGTATCAGCCCCGGGGTCATCTCATCCCCAAGGACAGCCTGAGGTAGGGGGTAGAGTCTCTCAGGGGAGCAGCTGGATGCTCTTGGCCTTAGAGGAATCTCCTGGTATAGTTTCATCTAAAATGGTGACCCCTTAGGGTTATTAAAATTTTAGGACATTAAAATGAATGGACAATACAACGTAATGTCATTAAAGCTAGGTCATTAAAACTGTTCCTCCAGCCGGAGCTTTTATTCCTCAGAGACACATTGACGGTCTGCCAATGGGATGCTGATATTGAGAGGAAAAGGCAGAAATGATTTCTGCTCTCTAGATTGTCTCAGATTTGTGAAGAGAGAAAAACTGTCCCAAAGGACAAGGAAAACCCACCCCAGAGAGGATGTGCAAGAACCTGAATATGAAAATGCACTCAAGGCACACAGGAGGACAAAGAGCAGTGCCAGTGCCTCCTAGGTGGTCACTGAGGACTTTACTGAACAGGATGGGTGTCCCGAGGGATAGAATGGCCTGCCGTGACACTTAGAAAGGTCTGTGTTGGAGTCAGCGCTGCCTCTCCCTGAGTTTGTTACCTTGATAAGGCTTGTCCGCTTATATGAGTTTCAGTTTTTCATTGACTGTAAGATACATGTTGTCAGTACAGTTTGAAAGATAAAGGTACTATTTCCAAAGTAGCAAGGTAAAATGACGTATTTTATTTGCTAAAAGTTCATATTTATTTCTTCCCCAGAGTGAGTGTAGTAAGATTTAAAGGTCTGTTCTTTTCAAGGGTAATTTCAAATGGAATTGTAGGACTTAGCTTTGTGAATGCTACTGGTGAAATAAAAGTATGATAGATAAATTGATGATTTACAAGGATTCACCAAAATGTCAGTTCCCTCTTGTAGCATGGTGAAGAATTTATGACAGTGGACACATCTGTGTCCTCTTATCTGGATATCTGAGGGGTTTTTTGGTGTTGTTTTATGTTTTTTTTTTTGGAGACACTGTCTTGCTCTGTAGCCCGGCTGAAGTGCAGTGGCACTATCTCTGCTTACTGCGACCTCTGCCTCCCGGGTTCAAGTGATTCTCCTGTGTCAGCCTCCCGAGTTACTGGGATTATAGGCACCCACCATCACACCCAGCTAATTTTTGCATTTTTAGTAAACACGGGGTTTTAGGCCTGGCACTGTGGCTCAGGCCTGTAATCCCAGCAATTTGGAGGCCAAGGTGGGGGATCACGAGGTCAGGAGTTCCAGAGCAGCCTGGCCAACATGGTGAAACCCTGTCTCTACTAAAAATACAAAAAAAAATTAGCTGAGCATGTGGCAGCACCTGTAATCCCAGCTACTTGGGAGGCTGAGGCAAGAGAATTGCTTGAACCCGGAGGTGGAGGTTGCAGTGAACCAAGATCTTGCCACTGCACCCAGCCCAAGCGACAATGCAAGACTCCGTCTCAAAAAACAAAAAATACAAACAGCAAAAAGGCGGGGTTTTGCCATGTTGGCCAGGCTGGTCTCAACATCCTGACATCAGATGATTGCTCACCTCATCCTCCAAGGTGCTGGGATTACAGGCGTGAGCCACCATGCCCTGCCCACACTATTTTTTTTTATTCCCTAAATTTTAATATGTTTGAGTTTGTCTGTTCCTTTATCACTGTTTTCTTACATAAAAAAATTCTGCCTAATCCTTCGTAAAAAAAAAAAAATCTTCTGTGACTTCTGAAAGTGTTCTGGTTTTATCTTTCATATTTGAATATATAATAAGTTGATTATGGATCATGGAATAGAGAAGAATGCAATGCATTTCCTAAGCAGATGCCAGCCTGGTTTGCCTCATATTTTAAAGTGCATGTGATTTCTTTTTCTATTCTACAGTGCCTACTCTATCATTCATCAACTTTCCATTTAAATGCTGGGTCATTAAGACTTTCTTCCCGTTGGTCTGCTTGCTCATCTCTCTGCTAATACTGTGCTGTCCTGAGTATTTTCGTTGAAAATCTTAGAAGTATGTTAGACAAGCCATCACTCTTTTTTTAGATGACTAAAAAGCATTAGACATTTGTCATTTTTACTACGCATGAAAAAGTAATTTTTCCTGCCTAAAAAAAACCTGATTTGGGAATTTATGTGATTTCATAGGAATAGCATCTGGAAGTGGTGACATTAATGTCCTTTTTAAAAACAGGTGTCGTATTTCCTCTTATTCCTTTCTACCTTGACATTGTGCAATAGAAATTTGAAAAATTATTGTATTAATATTGTCCAATATCAATTATTGGTTTTATTTACTACTCAATTAAATTTAATAAGCCTACTGTCTTTTGGTATAATCACATGGAATGGGCTCAACTCCCCAGTTAATAAGTGACAGCACATGTAAAATATTGTCTACCAGGGAAACTCATTGAACACTTAGTGTTCAGACTGTGTTTTGGTGTCTGGTTCCTAAGCACCACTGCAGTGAAAATAATAGACCTTCGGCAGAAAAAGTTTTGGCAAATATATTGCATAAGCCATTTAGATGCAGTGAGTCATTCTTATTACTTGGGTTGGTGGAATCCCTTTCAAAATGTAAGTTACTAATACAAACAAAGATGGAACTTTGTGAGCAGGCATTTTTAAGAATAAGTAGTCTCAGGACTGATAATATTAACTCCTTTATGCACATCAGGTAGAACTTTATTATGACAGATACTAGAAATGTACAAAGTGAAGTTAAAAGGTAACTCCTAGCAGCACATCTTACTCCCTGGATTCTCTAATGAGATGGGTGTTTCTACTTTGCTGTTGCCTTTTTGAATAGTTCAATTCTCGCATTAGTACTGCTGTGTGGAAGGAAGTATGTGTGAACAGAGTAAGAGTTGTGACAATCAAGTCATAGAATAAATGCTTGGAAATTTTAGAATCATGTAAACAGCTTATGGATTGAGTATAGATTCCCAGTGCTGTCAGTCTCACCCGTCCTTCTATCCACATATGTGGAATGTTCTAGGACTCCATGGCTTTTGAGGATGTGGCTGTGAACTTTACCCAGGAGGAATGGGCTTTGGTAGATTCTTCTCAGAAGAATCTCTGCAGAGAAGTGATGCAGGAAACCTGCAGGAACCTGGCTTCTGTAGGTAAGAATGACAACACATTTCACTTAATTACAGAAGTATTTCCCTATCATCAGTGCTATTTGTGATTTGGAATGTGGCAAGGGAATGATTTGGTGAAGAAATCAGGCATGGGCACTGTGTACAATGAACATGAAATCTAGTAATGTTTCTGTAGTTTGTAATAATTCATGATAATTTTGTGGGTCTGCATTTTAGGAAACAAATGGAAAGACCAGAATATTGAAGATCACTTTGAAAAACTTGGGAAAGATATAAGATAATTTGCACTGAGAAGAGGAAATAAAGTCCTCTGAAGGAATCTTAGCTTGTCATGAACTTAAAAACAAGCAATCAAAACAAATAGAGTCACTTGAAATTTATTTTTTTTTTAGAAAATTTCACCCAAAATGTAACGTACTTCAAGGTAGCAGTCAGTGTTTGGAAAACAGTTTACTTGAAAATAGCACTACAAAATTGTGTATATGAATGTTACTAATTTGGTCATAGCCATGCAGGTGGTAGCTGTGTTTTCAGTAGTAACCCATTTACTTTCAAATAATTCAATCATGGCAAAAATAATAATAATAATAATAATAACAATGCATTTTCCTTGGTATTGGTAGCAGTGTAAGGCCAAGACCTATTAGTAAGTAGAAAGTTATTAAACCAACCAATAATAATGTGCTTGTCATTTTTTTACAGAAATCATGTGGTACAGAGACTGTGTGAAAGCAAAGAAGGTAGACAGTATGGACAAGTTGTCAGCCAAATTCCAAATCTTGATCTGAATGAGAACATTTCTACTGGATTAAAACAATGTGAAAGCAGTGTTTGTGGAAAAGTCTTTGTACATCATTCCCTCCTTAATAGGCACATCCTGGCTCACTCAGGATACAAACCATATGGAGAGAAGCAATATAAATGTGAACAATGTGGGAAATTCTTCGTTTCTGTTCCAGGTGTTAGAAGACACATGATAATGTACAGTGGAAATCCAGTTATACATGTACGATATGTGGGAAAGTGTTTTATTTTCTCAATTCATTTGAAAGACATCAGAGAACTCACACAGGAGAAAAACCCTATAAATAAAAAAAAAAAAAAAAAAAAAAAAAAAAAAAAAAAAAAAAAAAAAAAAAAAAAAAAAAAAAAAAAAAAAAAAAAAAAAAAAAAAAAAAAATAAATAAACAATGTGGTAAAGCGTTCACTGTTTCCGGTTGTTGTCTAATACATGAACGAACTCACACTGGAGAGAAACCCTAGGAATGTAAGGAATGTGGGAAAACATTTAGATTTTCTTGTTGTTTTAAGATGCGTGAAAGGACTCACACTGGAGAAAGACCCGATACATGTACCAAATGTGATAAAGCCTTCATCTGTTCCACTTCCCTTCGTAACCATGGAAGCATTCATACTGGAGAGAGACCCTATGAATGTAAACAATGTGGCGAAGCCTTTAGTCATTTGAGTTCCCTTTGTAACCATAGAAGTACTCATACTGGAGAGAAAGCCTATGAATGTAAACAATGTGACCAAGCCTTCAGTCGTCTCAGTTCCCCTCACCTCCACGAAAGAATTCATACTGGAGAAAAACCCTATGAATGTAAGAGATGCGGTAAAGACTACGCTCGTTCCAGTCATCTTACTCGCCATGAAAGAAGTCATGATATAGAGGCTGGGTGTAGTGACTCAGCCTATAATCCCAGCACTTTGGGAGGCCAAGGTGTGTGTATTGCTTGAGCCCAGGAGTTCATAACCAGCCCGGATTAAAACAATGTGAAACAACCTGGGCAACACGGTGAAACCCTGTCTCTAGAAAAATAAAATAATGCCAGGCACGCTGGCTCAAGCCAGCTACTCGGGAGGCTGAGACAGGAGAAGGGTGTGAACCTGGGAGGCGGAGCTTGCAGTGAGCCGAGATCGCACCACTGCATGCCAGCCTGGGCGACAGAGCGAGACTCCATCTCAAAAAAAAAAAAAAAAGAAAGAAAATAATTAACTGGGCATGGTGGCACATTTCAGTTGTCTTAGTTCTTTTTCAAGGACATAAAAAGCCACGGGGGGTTGGGGGAAAGCCCTGTGCATGCGGATCACGAGGTCAGGAGATCGAGACCATCCTGGCCATCATGGTGAAACCTCGTCTCTACTAGAAATACAAAAATTAGCTGGGTGTGGTAGCATATGGTTGTAATCCCAGGTACTCAGGAGGCTGAGGCAGGAGAATCACTTGAACCCAGGAGGCGGAGGTTGCAGGGAGCCGAGATTGTGCCACTGCACTCCAGCCTGGTGACAGAGTGAGACTCCATCTCAAAATTAAAGAAAATAAGTAAATAAATAAATAAATAAATAAATAAAGCCCCTTGAATGTAAGAAATGTGGTAAAACATATACTCTTTCCCATTCCCTCATAAGCATGAAAAGGCTCACATTGCACAGAAACCTTAAGAATGTAGGAAATGTGGTCAGGCCTTCAGATTTTCCTGTTTTTGAAGATTTGGGAGGACTCAGAGTGGAGAAAAGCCTTTGAATCTAAATTTGTGGTAAGGCCTTCAGTTATGTTAGTTCCATTTGAAGACATCAGCTGATTCCTGAGAAAAACCCTATGAATGTCCAGAATGTGGGAATGTTTCATTTCTCTCATACCCACTCAGGGACATATGAAAATGCACACTGTAGCTGGCTGGACCTTGTAAATACAAGAACGTACACAGGATTAAAACTCTAATAGTTTAGAAACTGCAAGAATATTTTCAGTTTTCACATTTACTTGAAAAGTCATGTGAAAACTCCCATGGGAAAGAAGTTCTATAAGTGAAGCTTTTCTAATTTGGAAAGCCTGATGCAAATTAATTATGGTGCAGTGCTTGAAAAAAATGTATGAAATGTTACACAAGTTACAAGTATATTGCTTTTATCAGTGGCTCATTCTTAAAGAGTCTTGAGTATGCATTTCACCTTGTTTTGCAGGGAAACCTTGAGGTGAGAGTTCTGTAAATGCTCTTTAAGCAGTAGTACTTGAGTTTCATAGATAATGATACTAAGTTTGTTGGTAGAATTTTTGTCTATTCATTTGATAATGTGCTGGATTCATGGTTGAATTTTAATGTTTTTCTAAAATGTAGGTAAGTTTAATTTTTTTTATTTCATTATTATTATTTTTTTTTTGAGATGGAATCTCACTCTGTTGCCCAGGCTGGAGTGCAGTGGTGCAATCTCGGCTCACTGCAACCTCCGCCTCCTGGGTTTAAGTGATTCTCCTGCCTGAGCCTCCCGTGTAGCTGGGACTACAGGTGCCCACCACTACGTCCAGCTAATTCTTTGTATTTTTAGTAGAGACAGGTTTCGCCATGTTGGCTAGGCTGGTCTTGAACTCCTGGCCTCATGATTTGCCCACCTCAGCCTCCCAACGTGCTGGGATTACAGACATGAGCCACTGCACGCGGTCAGTAAGTTTCATTTGTATGTATTGTCCTGTGATTAACTGACCAGTGAATAATGATTGTGAATTGTTGGGATTGTCTTACTAGCCTCATTTGGCAAATTTTGATTATCCCTTGTTCATTATACACATTCCACCTTTCTTTATTAAAGGAAAAACTACTCTTGATGTAAAGATGTTTATTTCTTGCTAATAATGACTTGGTATTAATTCCTAAGTACATAAATTTTACCATGGAGTATCATCTCGTGAGTTCTTTGCATGTGTTGCCCTTTATTCTTTATTATTTCTGTCTATTATTTGGATCATTCACTTTGAATGAAGGAGAGAGGACTGTGATAGGACAACATGTTGTAACCAATCTGAGGGAGGAAGCATTCAATCTCTCAGTCACATATGATATCATTCGGCTTTTCATCGATGCCTTTCTCATTGTAGTAGATAGTATTGCACCATTATGATATGATAGTTTATATATTGTTTTTTAGAGTATTACAGTCTTACCAGTCTGTGTGACATGATTCAGTTCCCTACCAGCCAACAGACAAAGCAATCACATATCCTGTAGGAAAAAGGAACATCCTCGGCCGGGTGCAGTGGATCACGCCTGTAATCCCAGCACTTAGGGAGGCCGAGGCCGGTGAATCATGAGGTCAGGAGATCCAGACCATCCTGGCTGACACGGTGAAACCCCGTCTCTACTAAAAATACAAAAAATTAGCCATGTGTGGTGGTGGTGCCTGTAGTCCCAGCTTCTAGAGAGGCTGAGGCAGGAGAATGTTGGGAGACGGAGCTTGCAGTGAGCTAATCAACCACTGCGCTCCAGCAAGGGTGACAGAGGAGATTCTGTCTCAAAAAAAAAAAAAAAAAAAAAAGGAACATCCTCACTTTTTTCATGCTATACCACTCTCTGCTCCTAAGTTAATCCCTGTTTGGGCCTTGGGAGCTTACACCATCCTCCTATATGTAATTAATAACTGATGTCTGGTTTTTCTGTTTAGTAATAGATGTTATGTGTTTAACGGTGCCAGTAAACGTAGGGTGCTCATTCCTTCCTCACCAGTGGGGTGCATGAGATGCTATTGAAATAATTGGCAACACAAATGGAATGGACCAGCCCTCATGCAGGACACCTGCTCAACTTGACCTACCTGCTGTCGGCTGACGGTTCCGTAACACATCAGCAGTCCCTGAGTCAGAACCGTGAGCTGACGATGGGCCTTCCCTTTGGTCTGCACAGCGTTCTGTGGTCTTCAGGTGTTTCATCTTCTCCCACACTAAAATGCTCTCATCTCCTAGACATGAATGTTTCATTGCACCCCAGCATGACATTTGGCCTTTGCTTAGCAGGCAGTTTTGAGGCCCTGACTTATTAATGCACAGAAGCGCAGCACATAAGCCAACACTTAAGTCCTAATTAGCAAGGATCAGGCTGTATCTCTGTAGTCCCTGCATCTACTCTGGTCACCATCTCTGTATGCTGAGGGCAGCCATGTGAACATTATTAATTATTGTACACTCCAAGATAATAGTTATTATGTAGGCAGAAGTAGTGGCCTTGTTTGTTTCTTGTGCTGCTGCTCCCCTTGCCGCTGTCCCATACACCCTCCTGATGAGGTGTACATCTATGGTTCCTCATGGTTCAGGCACTGATGAGTAAAGAAAATGGGAAGAAAGAGTTTGACATTAGCCCCTATCGAAGGATATGAAGAAGAGTCTCAGTTGCTTGCATTGAAAAATTCCTAGCGAGTGTGTGGGCTTTTCTTATCACTGCTGCTTATCAGCATGTCAAAAGTCGAATCTTCGGATGGCAAGTCTTGCTGGCCTTAGACATAATGGCCTTACTGCGTGTGGAGCTAACGCCAGGAAGATAGAGTGACAGTCTCTGGAGGATTAGGTGGTCTCCTCCAATGTGACTTGATGGGTTCCTGAACTCTTTCCTGTAACCATGCAGAGAGTCTACACTGCCAGTGATCATGTGCCTCAACTCTGTAGATGTAGAAACTCAAAATATTCAAAATATTCTGAAACAGTTTCCATTGAAAGGAAAGAGAAAGACAGTTAGGTGCCATGCTCCGGTCAAGAGAACTAGTAGATGGCTCACAAGAACACTCTGTTGCTACTGTCTGTGCTTCTGTCACAACAAATATCCTGATCCTTCAGTTTTAAGGGTGTGGGCCATTTTCCTTCCTTTCTTACTGGTAGTTCTCAAGATAACTGTATGATATGCTGAGAAGGCAATATCCTGATAATCAGGTGACATTGGTCAGAACAGCCCAGGCTCTGTTATAGTCCCTGCTCGAAACAGAATGGCCTTTAACACTTGTGTCCAGCAAACCACATCATTGAGAAAACCCAAGGTGGGCTCTTTCTGGGGTCCCTCAGTTGTGGTGCAAGTGAAGCATTTACAGTCAAAACTCCATCCATCTGCTCTAGGTAGCCTTCCTGATCTTGTGGTAGCGGTTCATATTGAATCCTAGACTTCTGTTGTCTTTTGTTTGCTATTTGTAAGTAATAAATTCACTTCATGGAATTTATGTATGAATGTGTTTGGTCTCATTGTACTCAGAAAAGTTGGTAGCCATTGCACAGTGAACCCGCTTCATAATTGGTGGAAACACCTATGCTCCCCTTGTGTCACAGTAAGGAGGTTAATTCAGCCAAACATAAACTTCATGTTCGTAAAACCCTGTAGCACAATTATTACCATGCGGGAGACCTTTAACAATGGTGATGCTGATTTGAAGAACTCTGAAGGAAGAAATTTACACAAATGGTTGGGTACACGGGAGTCCCTCCTAACTTAAAGAAAACCTTACTCCCCTCTGCCTAAAAAGAGTGGAGAGGCGAGGCACCGTGGCTCAGACCTGTAATCCGAGCACTCTAGGAGGCCGAGGTGGGCAGATAATAAGATATCAGGGGTTCAAGACCAGCCTGACCAACATGGGGAAGCCACATCTCTACTAAAAATACAAAAATTAGCCGGGCGTGGTGGTGGGCACCCGTAATCCCAGCTACTTGGGAGGCTGAGGCAGGAGAATTGCTTGAACCTGGGAGGCGGAAGTTGAAGTGAGTCAAGACCACGCCACTGCACTCCAGCCTGGGTGACAGGGCAAGACTCCATCTCAGGGAAAAAAAAAAAAAAAAGTGGATAAGAACTGAAACAGGTTTAAAATTTCACCTAATTGGAAATGCAAACTTTACAAAAATATATTTCAAATAAAATGCTAAATGAGTGCTCATTGAATTTTATGCCTCCACAAAGTAGGTTGTGAATTAACTTCCACATCTCTTGCAAGCCACCAA